TAAGTGCACCCGTGTCATGCAATGCCCAAGGAGGACAGAAGAGGCTGTCGGATCCCCTGGAACTGGAGTTACGGACAGTTGTTAGCTGCCATGTGGGTGCTGGGATTCAAACCCAGGTCTTCTACAAGAAAAACCAGTGTTCTTAACCGTTGAGCCATCTCTCCAGCCCCGTGAAGATGATTTAAAAATATATATATATTTTAGGCCAGGCGTGGTGGAGCATGCCTTTAATCCCAGAGGCAGGCGTATCTCTGTGAGTTCAAGGCCAGCCTGGTCTACATAGTGAGTTCCAGGCCAGCTAAGGCTACAGAGAGACCCTGTCTCAAAGACAAAAAAAAAAAAAAAACCCAAAAAACAAAAAAGACAAAAAAAATATTTATTTTTTGTGTGTATGTGTGTATTGCCTGCATGTGTGTAAGTGTATCTGTGTCCTGCAGTGCATGGGGCAATGAGAACAGAGCATCAGATCCCCTGGAACTGGAGTTACAGACAGTTGTTAGCCACCATGTAGGTGCTGGGAATTGAACCTGCCAGTGCTCTTAACCCCTGAGCCATCTCTCCAATTCCTATTTTATTATTTTTTTGATTGATTGCTTTTTATTTTGTGTATGAATGTTTTGTCTGCATGTATGTATTACCTGTGTTGTACAATGCCTGAGGAGGCCAGAAGAGAGCAACAGAGCAACAGATCCCCTGGAACTGGAATTGCAGATAGTTGTTAGCTGCCATGTGGGTGCTGGGACTCAAACCCAGGTTCTCTGCAAGAGCATCCAGTGCCCTTAACCACTGAACCATCTCTCTGACCCCCTTGTTTTATTATTTTTTGCACTGCTGAGGACTGCACCCTGGGTTTTGCATGTTCTAGGCAAATGCTCTACCACTAAGCTACCTCCTCAGTCTAGAAATGGATTCCTTCTAATTGGCTAAGAAATTCACTGTCCACACTATGTCCTCTTCCATGTCCTCACCAACCTCACAGAGAGGCAAGAAGAGGAAGGAAAGAAGGAAGGAAGGGAGGGAGGGAGGGAGGGAAGCTGATTGGCACCTGCAAGGAAACCAATGCGACACGGAACGAGGCAGTTTGTCACATGGCCTCCCTCTGTGGACCCTGTCCTCTCAACCCCTCCTCACCCCACAGAGCAGGACTAAAGAGCTGTCCAGGCACCCACAGGGTCTCTTCTGACTTCGTGACTCTTAAAATGCTCTGTCATGGGCTGGAGAGATGGCTCAACGGTTAGGAACACCGGTTGTTCTTGCAGAAGACCCGGGTACGAATCCCAGCACCCACATGGCAGCTAATAACTGTCCGTAACTCCAGTCCCAGGGGATCTGACAGCCTCTTTTGACCTCTGCAGGTACTGCACGACATGGGTGCACTTACCTACATGCAGATAATCCACACATACACACAAAATAAAAATAACAAATAAAATTTTTTAAAAATGTTCTGTCATTAGAAAGCTCAGTCACACAGAACCATGAACCCCAGGACTCAGCTTCTGTGGCTGATGGCACATGGCCTCACCCACTCCCCATAGCATAGGCTTCCTTCTTTTTTTAGCCCCATTGGCCTGGAACACACTATACAGACCAGGCTGGCCTTGAACTCACAGAGATCCACCTGCCTCTGCCTCCTGAATGCTCCTTTTTATTTATTTATTTTTTTTAAAGACAGAGCCTCCCTGTGGCCTCAGCTGGCCTGGAACTCACCAGGTCGGCTGTGAACTCAGGAGATCAGCCTGCCTCTGCCAGAATTAAAGGTATGCGCCTCCACGCCCGGCTCAGGCTTCTTTTGAAGCAATTCCCAATGCTTTTGAAGCATTACATCATTTCACCTAAAATATTTCCATATCACCATCTAGCAGTTAAAGACATCTTTATATATGTGTGTGTGTGTGTGTGTGTGTTGGAGTTTTGGGGTTTTTTTTTTTGGTCTTTTTGAAGCAGGGTCTCCTTGTAGCCCCAGCTGTCCTGGAATTCACTATGTAGACCAGACTGGCCTTGAACTCACAGAGATCCACCTGCCTCTGCCTCACAAGTGCTGGGACTATAGGCGTGTGCCACTACGCCCAGCTAACAGGCTTCTTTATATTTAAAAATTTTCATTACATATCAGTATTTGCAGGGGCAGTGGGGGACGGTGGCATGCATGGAAGTCAGAGGACAACTTGCAGGAGTGTGGTCCTGAGGATCAAACTCAAGTCCGCAGGCTTGGCAGCAAGCGCCTTTACCTGCTGAGCCATTTTGCCAGCTCTCTCTTTTACTATTATGTAATGCCTCGTCTTATGTCTTTATCACACCTAAACAAAGGAGCAATAGTGACAGGTGTGGTAGTGCAGGCTAGCAATCCCAGCTCAGGGGAGGTGGAGGCAAGAGGATCAGAAGTTCAAAGTCAGCCTCAGTTACACAGTAAATTCAAGGTCAGCCTGGGCTACATGAGACCTTGTCTTTCAAAAGAAATACTGCCCTTGAGTGCACTTCCTTTCTCTACGTCTTTCAAGGCTGCAGTGGCTGCCACTGCTCTCCAAGTTTCGCCACCCACGCCTCAGAGAGCACAGAAAGAAAAATGATGGAAAGTCCAGCAAGACAAAGACCCAGGAAACAAGTCTGGGGCCAGCCAGAAAGGAAGGTCTCAAGGCAGAGTTCAGGACGGTGCAACAAGCTGGTCCTTGCTGGAGCTGCTACTACGACCACCTCTCTAAGGAAGTCTCTGCTACAAGCTTATTATCCAAGCTGTCTCTAGGAGACTGAAGATCCGCCAGTCCCTGGCCAGGCTAGTCCCCCAGGAGCTCCTTAGTGAAGGGACTTAGCAAACAAATGTCAACGCACTGAGCTCAAGTAATTTACAGCAGTGACACCAAGGGTGGAGATGCCCCAGCTGCTGGTGAAGATGCACGAACAGGTCCAACCAACCATACATTTGGAAAAATAAAATTTTATTAAATAAAGCAAGAGAGGGACAGGAGAGACGGCTCAGAGGTTAAGAGCACTGGTTACTCTTGCAGAGGACCTGAGATTGGTTCCCAGCACCCACATGGCGGTTAACAACCATCCATAACTCCAGTTCTAAGAGGTCTAATGCCCTCTTCTGGCTTCCTTGGTCATTGCACCTATGAGTACACTTATATACATATATGCAGGCAAAACACTTATACCCAATACCCATTTTTAAAAAGGAAATAAATGGCTCTTTCTCTTTTAAGACAGGGTCTCGCTGGTCTGAAAACTCACTTTGTAGACCAGGTTGGCCTCAAACTCAGAGATGCCACCCCAGTGCTAAGACGAAAGGTATGTACTACCACACCCGGTTCATTTAAAAAAATTTTTTGAGACATGGTCTCATGTAGCTCAGACTGGCCTCAAACTTACTACATAGCCAAGGCTAACTTTAAACTCCTTGATTTTCTTGCCTACACTTCCCATGTGTAGGGATTAAAAGTAGGTGCCACCACACCCAGCTCAGTGCACTCTTAAGATGTGACTTTACCATCAACCTTAATCAAGCCTTACTATCAGTGGGCACAGTAACACATGCCTGGAATCCCAGCACTCACAAAGCTGATATAGGATTGTGATTTTGAGGACAGACTGAGCTATACAGGGAAACATTACCTCAAAAATCACAGTAACAGCTGGGCGTGGTGGCGCATGCCTTTAATCTCAGCACTCAGAAGGCATAGGCAGGCAGATCTCTCTGAGTTCAAGGCCAGCCTGGTCTACATAGTGAGTTCCAGGACAGCTGGGGCTACAAGGAGACCCTGTCTCAAAAAAGACCAAAAAATAAAAAGAAAATAAATGAATAAAAAATTTTGGGGGGCTGGAGAGATGGCTCAGCAGTTAAGAGCACTGACTGCTCTCGTAGAGGACACGGGTTCAATTCCCAGCACCCACATGACGGCTACGAATGGTCCTTAACTCCAGTTCCAGGGGAATCTGAAGCCCTCTTCTGACCTCCTCAGCATTGCATGACCTCACATACATGCAGGCAATACACTCTTACACATAAAATAAAAATAATATTTAAAAATTTTTTGAAAGAAAGAAAAACACAAAATACTGCTTTTTGCTCTTACCAGTAAAAATTCCAATCCTCGTTTTCTGTCACTTGGACCCATCCTCTCTTCTCAAAGTTATTGATTAGCACCGACTTCTCAATGTCAGTGACCCACTTCACCCTTCCTGCCATGATCCTAAAAAACACCAAGTCATTATTACTCTGAAACTTGGCCGGCAGCGAACTTCCCCCCAAACCAAAGATCCTTCAAATGCCATGCAAGGCAAACACACGTCCACCCTAGCTCAAGTTCACACACCACGGTTCCCAGCAGGGGTTTTCCATCCCTGGGGACGCCTCCATTCCCCCACAGACCTCCCCGTGGGCCACTGTGTGGGGCTAGCAGGGGCAACTGTCAGGAACCACAGGAGAGGCATGTGGGGCTACAGGGGTTGGAGGCAGGAGAGCGGATCCTTCTCAGAGCAGGTGGGGAAGGCTGTCCTGAGATGTGGACACCTGAGCTGACCTCTGATGAGGTGGCTGGAGTTGGCACACTCATCCAGGTCTGGGCACCCTTATCACCCTGTCCCGCACTGCCTATCTCCTCACCTCTCCTCCACCCTAGTCGCTCCAGGTGCACTCCTTAACTGCAAGGCGGTCTTCAGTGTTAACCTGATCATGGCCCTCCTATCCAACAACCTCCACAGCTCCCAGTGCACTCAGAACACAGGCCCTGACCCTGGCCTGATACTGCAGATACAGCTGGTGCCACTTCCCTGCTCGGGCTCTGCCACCTCAGGGCCTTGGCACATGCAAGCGTGTCTGCAGCTGACCCCTTGCTCTGCCTGGCTGAGCTACTTCCCACTCATTCAGTACAGATGAGTTCTGTATGTCTGTCTACAAGGCCGCCCTGACCCTCCACCCTAGGTACTCAGGCCCTTGGCATCCTACAGATCTGTATCTAGCATCGGCTGCTCACTTGCCTGCTCCAGCCAAAAGAGGCTGTTTACTACCTTGCCACACAGGAGTTCATTTGAAGCAGGCTTGCATGCTAGGGACTCTGGGAGCTTGGAGGGCCTGTCTCAAACAAACAAGCAAGCAAAAAACACCCAAAACAAAAACAAACAACTCTGACAAAAGCAAGGGAGAAAGGGCTTATTTTAGCTCCCAGTTCAAGGGACAATCTATCGCGGTGGGGAAGTCAAGGCAGCAGGAGCCTGAAGCAGCTGGCCACATTGCATCCACAGTCAGAGAGAGCAAACATCCCATGCAGGTGCTCAGCACCACATGCACCAACTCCTCACGTGCTGACTCCTGTCCCAAGCAGGCTCTACATGACCCCACACCACAGCATGGTGTCAGTGCTGGTGGCTGGGGGACTTTATACCTTCACTCTTTCTCTCTGAACCCCTTGATGAGTCCTGCCCCCCTGCCACACTGCAGGACCAGGATTCCAGGAGAGACACCTCCAGCCCGGCCCTGCCACACCCACCTAATCACCACCCACACCGCAGAGCTCCTGGGACACAGTGAATGCTAAATCTCACTACACTGAAGACTTCCTCCCAGACATTGCCTCACACTGGGGAAAACAGCAGACAGAAGCGCAGTGATCCTAACTGATAGACAGCACAGGCTGCCTCTGTGGCTTGGCCACTTGTGGCATGCCAGGTGCCTACAAATGTGCCAGGTATTACCAGCCTCACCTTGTTGAGCAGGAAGCAGAGCCTTGGGAGGCCAGTGCTCCGGACAGACCACCTAGTGCTCCTCCCGGCCACATCTGTCTGTCTGTCTGTCTCCCTTGCCATGGGGACAGTCACCAGTGGGCACATGTCAGGTGGCACCTACCATAGGTCCTTCTGCAGCTGGAATGCCCGGATCCTCCAGCGTCAGCGACTCTTGCCTCTGATTATCTTAAACAAAGTCAGTACACACATGAAAGGTGTTGTCACAAAAGCACAAGGGACAGAGATTGGAGACGCACTGACTGAGCAGAGCTTGACCAGCCAAACAGAGAGAGCCAGGGATGGCATCTTGCTTATTGAATGCACACAGGACACATTCTTGTGATAATGGTTGTGGAGTTGCTGGGTGTGATGGCTCACATGCAATCCCAGCACTCAAGAGGCAGAGGCAGGACGTTCCTCTGCAAGTTCCAGGCCAGCCTGGTTTACAAGGCAGGTTCCAGGCCAGCCTATCCTACGTGCCAAGTCCAGGCCACCCAGGGCTACATATTGAGACCCTGTCTCAAAAAAAAAAAAAAAAAAAAAAAGATTTCCGCTCCAGCTGGTCTTCTCACGCCCTTCACGTTCTGTCCCACTGAGCATCAGCACAGTCCACAGGGGCCGAAGGAGGGCACACTCCCCATTTGACACAGCAGGAAAATGTAGCTCTGTTATGACTTAAATGTGTCCCCTAAAAGCTCAGGTGTTGGCATCCTAACCCCCAAAGTCATATGTAATGGCATTGGGAGGAGAGGCCTTGGGAGCTAGAGGGGGTGCTGGGTTCTGTGAGGGGGGAACAGAGACCTGAGCTAGCAGGCCTGCTTCCTCTCTACATGATACCCCTGACCTTGGACTTAACCTCTACAACCCTGAGCCAAATATATTTTTCCGTGTGTGTGTGTGTGTGTGTGTGTGTGTGTTGCTCCAGGACTAACATGCTCAGCCCTAAACTTCTACTCTATAAATATGTAGTCTCAGATATGTTGTTACAGCAACAGGAAACAGACCAAGGCAAGGCGGGCTCAGAGAGTTAAAAAGCAGAGAAAAGATTGTATCTGTCACCAACCTGCATCACCTCCTCCCTCCTGCACCCGCAGGGACTATGGGTCTCCTCATCAGACTGTGACCCCTGAAGGGCAGGGAGGGAGCTGCCTTACCTCTGTACCCCAGTACCCAGCCAGGGCCAGGCCCATCTAGGGGCACAGAAATCACCTGTAAAATAGACAAATGAACCAACTGGTCAAGAATCACACTTCAGAAGATGAGGCCGAGTCCTTCCCAACCGTCAAATACAAGTCCTGTCCATTAGAAAAGTAATACCTGATGTCGGACTGTTTGTGACCACTTCCTCCTAAAACAGGAAAACAAAACAAGTGTGGTAAGGTGCTTCTGGTTCACAAGAATTGATGCATTTGATATTTTTTTTCTTACTTTCTTTTGTTTTGTTTTTGAGACAGGGCTCATGTAGCCCAAACTGATCTCAAACTCCCTATGTAGCCAAGGATAACCTTGAACTCCTGATACTCCTGCCTCTACCTCTCAAGTACTGGGATCACAGTGTGCACCACCACACCTGGCTTGATGACTGTTTTTTTTCTTTTCTTAAATCTTAAAAACCTGAGCATCATGAAACATGACCTGGACAAAGCCAACTATTGCTTTTCGGACTCAACACGGCTCATGGCTGTACCTGGGGCTGCTGCTACCTGAAGTGGCCAACCACAGCCACCTTGATACCATGGTGCTCCTGGTAGCTGAAGACAACGTGGGTCCTCAGGCAAGTGGTTAGGCCCTTCACAAGCAGGAGAAGGCGGCTTCCTATGGGCCACCCTAGCTCTGAATCCCCCTACTCAGCAGTCAGTCACTTGGCACCAGGCCTGGGCAGGGAGGCAAAGTGTTGACTGAGACTGTCCAGTCCGAGGTGGAGGAGAGGGATACAGACAGCAGGCTGTGAGGCCCAAGCTACACTAGGGCAAGGTGCTTTAACAACACCATGACAAAGCTCAGCTGTGATTCTGGAGGGAACATGCATTCAATGAGCAAGAACTGGTGTCAGCTCCGCCTTGCAGACCCCAAATCCACACAGCGCTCTCCACAGCTCCACGACTGTCTGGGACAACCTCAACAGGCCCCGACAGTTATCCTTTCTGCCACCCTCGACCCAATGTGACCCACCATCTGTCCAGCAACACTCTGGTCCTTGGCACACACATCAGCTTAAGTCACCAGCTCCTAAGCCAAAAGCTTCCAAGCCATATGGCATTTACTAAAACTGGCAGTCTGCTCGTGACTTACAGGGCCAGCCTGCCCTACCTTTGGCACTGCCTCTCAGCTCTGCCTCCCACTACCACCTCCATGCTCAGACACCTTGCCTCTTCAGCTCCATCACACTACATCTTGGGGCTGCCTTCTCAAAGGTCTGAGGTCAAGACCTTCCTTGACTACTGACCTCAATGCTCTTGATGCCTCCACACTTTGCAACAGCCCCCTCACCACTACATTCTAAGACCCCAATTGGTGCCTGAAACCACAGAAAGTATCAACCCCTAAATAAACTTTCTTCCTACACAGGCACATCCATGATGAACCCGCACCGTCTCACTTACAGGAAGCACTTTTTGGTCTCTCTGGCAAATCCAAGTAACCAGCATCACTGCTCTTACACTCCCGTGCTCATTATTAAGAAGACAATGAGCCGGGTGTAGTGGCACACACCTTTAATCCCAGCACTCAGGGAGGCAGAGGCAGGCAGATCTCTGTGAGTTCAAGGCCAGCCTGGTCTACATAGTGAGTTCCAGGACAGCTGGGGCTACAGGGAGACCCTGTCTCAAAAAGACCAAAAAAAAAAAGGAAGACAGTGGCGGGGGGGGGCTGGAGAGATGGCTCGGCAATTAAGAGCACTTCCAGAGGACCTGGGTTTGAGTCCCAGCACCCACATGATGGCTAACAACCATCCATAAGTCCAGTTCCAGAGGATCCGGATACCCTCTGACCACAGGCATTGCACGACATGGGTGCACTTACACACATGCAGGTGATACACTCATACACGTAAAAATAATTTAAAAATAATAAAAGCAGATAATGGGTGACTTGAACACTATAAGGAGGCAATTGGATGACCATGGGGATGGGAGCGTTTGCACAGGGCCTACAAAGGACAAAGCACAGTGCAACATCTCCTCACCGCAATCAGAACAAGGCTGTGCTGGATAGCTTTAGTGTCAACTTGACACACCTGAGTTGAGGGAGCCTCAGTTGAGGTACTGTCTCCATTGGCCTGTGGCCATGTCTGAGGGGCATCTTCTTGATTACTGGGTGATGTGAGAGGGCCCAGCCCACTGTGGACAGTGCCACCCCTGGACAGCTGGGCCTGTGTTGTATAAGAAAGCAAGTTGAGCACAACCCAGGGGAGCAAGCCAGTAAGCAGTGTTCCTCCATGGCCTGTGATCCAGCTCCTGCCTCCAGGTTCCTGCCCTGAGTTCTTACCTTGGGCTCCCTCAGAGATGAACTAGGACCTGGAAAATTTAAGCGAATAAACCCTTTCCTTCCCAAGCTGGTATTGGTTAGAATATTTTGTCACAGTAATGGAGAAACAAACTAGAACAGAGGTACCACCTAAAAGTCAAAATGGGAGCTGGAGAGATGATAGCTCAGTGGTTAGGAACATTGACTGTTCTTGCAGAAGACCTGGGTTCGAATCCCAGCACCCACATGGTAGCTAATAACTGTCCATAACTCTAGTTCCAGGGGATCCAATAGTCTCTTCTGTCCTCCTCAGGCACTGCATGACATGGGTGCACTTACCTACATGCAGGCAATACATGCATACACATAAAATAAAAACAATAAATAGAATTTTTTTTAAGTCAAAATGGCTGATTTCTGGAACCTTCTGAACTGAAACCATGGAAAGTGAGACCATGGATATAGGTAGTTACTATGTTTTCTCCATGACATGAACCTGCACTTAGTATAGCTCATGCCATGGCCCATGGACCAGCTGCACAGCATTGCCTGGAGCTTGCTAAAAATACAGCTTCTCAGGGGTGTGCGTGGCTCGGTGGTAAAGCACTTGCCTAGCAGGCACAACACCCTGGGTTCTATCCCCAGTATAAGGGAAGGGAAGTGGGAAGGAAGGAAGGAATGACGGGAGGGATGGGGGGAGAGAGGGAGGAAGGTTGGTTCATGAGTCTTCGCCCACCATTGATATACCAACTCAGATTCTCTGGGAGGAGGGTCCAGAAAGCTGTCAGCTGATTTTTTTTTTTTTAAAAAAAAGATTAATTCTATTTTTTTTTATTTTTTTGGTCTTTTTGAGTCAGGTCTCCCTGTAGCCCCAGCTAGCCTGGAGCTCGCCATGTAGACCAGGCTGGCCTCCAACTCACAGAGATCTGCCTGCCTTTGCCTTCTGGGTGCTGGGATTAAAGGCATGTGCCACCACACCCGGCAGACTAATTCTATTTTTAAAAAATATCTTATTTATTATTTTTATTTTATGTATATGCCTGTATTGCATACATGTAGATAAGTGCACCCTTGTCGTGCAATGCCCGAGGTGGACAGAAGAAGCTATCGGATTCCCTGGAACTAGAGTTACAATTAGCTGTCATGTGGGTGCTGGGATTCGAACCCAGGTCTTCTACAAGAACAACCAGTGTTCTTAACCGCTGAGCCATCTCTCCAGCCCAGATTATTTCTAATTTTTTTTTTTTGTCTTTTTAAGACAGGGTCTCTCTGTAGCCCCAGCTGTCCTGGAACTCACTATGTAGACCAAGCTGACCTCGAACTCACAAAGATCCACCTGCCTCTGCCTCCCAAGTGCTGGGATTAAAGGCATGTGCCACCACACCCAGCTAATTCTATTTTTTATGTGTATGTATCTGTGTGCCCAAAGAGCCTAGAAGAGGGCGTGAGATCCCTTGGAGCTAGAGTTATGGGAGGTTGTAAGCTGCCTGATGTGGATTCTGGGGAAAGAACTCAGGTCCTCTGGAAGAGCAGCACACACTCTTAACCACTAAGCCTCTCCAGCCCTGTCAGGTGATTCTTAGGTGTTGCTCAAATTTGAAATCAGTTGGTCTAGTTCATGCATTTGACTTCTATATGGACATGTCAGCATCAGGAGGACAGGAACAGTTGTTTGCCATACCTCCTGCTTCCTCCCCAGTCCTCAGAACTTCATCTAGCAACAGCAGTGATCAAGAAAATTTATGAATTAAAGAAAAAAAATCAGGACAGCAAGATGGCTCTGCAGGTAAAAGAGTTTGAGCTGCAGGTCTAGTAACTTGAGTTTGGTCTCTGGATGGAGGTGGTAGGAGAGAGCAGACTCCATGCAGATGTTCGTGGCACATGCACGTCCACACATACACATCATGCATACAATAAATAAAATTTTAACGATTAAAAATTAAGAAATAGGGGGCTGGAGAGATAGCACAGTGGTTAAAAACACTGACTGTTCTTGCAGAAGACCCAGGTTCGAATCCCAGCACCCATGTGGCAGCTAACAACTGTCTGTAACTCCAGTTCCAGGGGCTCCCCTCCGTGGGCATTGCATGACACAGATGCATTTACCTACATGCAAGCAATACATGCATACACATAAAATAAAAATAATAAATTTTTTAAATTAAGAAATATAGCCAGGCACAGTGGCACAGGCTTATAATCCCAGCACTTGGAAGGTGGAGGCAGTAAAATCAGAAGTTCAAAGTCATCCTTCAGCTACATTAGAGAGTTCCAGGCTAGCTGGGCTACATGAAATCATCTAAAAACAACAACAACCAAAAAAAAACCCAATAACAATAATAGTAATAATAATTAATAAGTAAATTCCCTCTGCATAGGACCAAACAAGTGCTACTCAGGCCACCAGTGAATTGGAGGAAGCCCAGCCCTAAGTGGGTGAGTCTTAGGGGAGAGAGACTGGCAAAAAATCACCCCTAAAGACTTGCATTAAAAGGCTACAGAATGGGGGCTGGAGAGATGGCTCAGCAGTTAAGAACACTGGCTGTTCTTGCAGAAGACCCAGGTTTGAATCCCAGCACCCACATGGCAGCTAATGAACCCAGGTCTTCTGCAAAAGCAGCTAGTGCTCCTAACCATTAAGCTATCTCTCCAACCCCAAATAAATAATAAAATAAATAAATAAATAAATATATATATATATATAAAATATAAAAAAAAAATAAAAAAGGCTACAGAATGAGGTTGAAGAGGAACTGATTGCTAGGACAGCTGCTTATAGGAGTAGGTCTACAACCCAGGGACAGCATGCATGACAACATGCACACCGGCACACACGATGGCATGCACACCAGGACACATAACAAAGCACTTCACCCCCTGCTGTGATTACCAGCCCTAGACAAGAGTTAGGCAGCTTTCTGAGAAAGAAGAAAAAGAGAGCTTACACTCAATAGTCTTTCCACTCCTCGAGGTCCAGCCATCAGAAACCAGGGGCCCTGCCTTTCTGCCTCCCACACTTTGACCTTTACCAAGGTCACTGACGGCCCAACTACACTAGGAGCCCAGTACCTGGATTCTTTTCCAACAAGCTTTCCTTGAAAGGGAGCAAAGAGGGGCTGGAGAGATGGTTCAGCTGTTAAGAGCACTTGCTGCTCTTCCAGAGGACCTGGGTTCAGTTCCCAGCACCCATATCCAGCAGCTCCAGTCCCAGGAGATCCCTCGCCCTCTTCTGGCCTCCCTGGACACTGCACCTATGTGGTGCACATACACTCAAGCAGCTGCACACACAAATATACATAAATAAATAAATCTTTTTTAAAAGGGAGCAAAGAGCTATCTCTAAGAAACTAATGAGGGGCTGGAGAGTTGGCTCAGTGGTTAAGAGCACCGGCTGCTCTTGCAGAGGACCCAGGTTCAAGTCCCAGCATATGGTGGCTAACAACTGTAACTCCAGTTCAGGGGGATCCAATGCCTTCTTTTTCTGACCTCCTCCGGTATTGCATGATACAGGTGTATTTACACACATGCAGACAATACACTCATACACATAAAATAATAAAATATTTTAAAAAGAAACTAATGAATAATAACATAAACAACACTTCACACCGTGGGATACACTCCTTCACGCTGAATTAGCCTCACTCTGCATGTGGGGTGACCACGCCATGCCCCAAAGTGGCTGTCTACCAGATTGCTAATTCCTTGAGGGTCTATCCTTTTGTGCTGTCCCAAACCAGCAGTGTAACATGCTCATGAAATGTTTCCAAAACACGCCACTCCAACCCGGTCACATGCTAAGACACTTCCTCGGGTGAACTCAATGACCCCACCGCTCTACAGAGGATGCCCCCCCCCCTTAACAAAGACGGAACCGACTCGGTCCAGTCTTCCCGAGAAGCCAGCTGCGAGGGTAACACAAGGCTCGGTCTGCAGGCCTGGGTTCCCTTCACCCGCACGGTACCGCCCTGCAAGAGATGCCAACGCGCACAATAGCCTGCAAGCGAGCAGGCAGTGCGAGCCCGGCTGCCTTCAAGAAAAACGATGCAATTAGCAATTACAGCAATCAGACGTAAGGCAAGTCCCAGGATCTCGGAGGAGGACTCGGGCTCCGGGGGGGCGGCACGGGCTTCCCGGGAACGCGGGTGGGACCAGCAGCACGTAAACCGCCGGCTCGCTTCCTGGACCAGGCGGCTACTCACGGGCGCGCATGCGCACTCGCCACGCGAGGCCACGCCCTCGGCGCCCCAGCCCTGCTCCACGGTCCCGGGAGGACCCCGCGGGGAGTCCCGTGGACTGGCAGCCCCCTCCCGTCGCCGCAAGCTTCACTTCCGGGGCGGTGTCATGACAACCAAGGACGCGCCTGCCGGCACCACGACTGCTTCCGGGGTCGGGCTTTCCGGGGTGCCCGATGCCTGGATGAGGCCGGGCAACTTCCGAGCATCCTTTCGGAGTGGGAGGGGCCGGGCCTCTGGAGTGGCTCTGCAGGCAGAGGCGACAAGCCTGGGCCCAGGGTTCAAGCCCTGGACCCACGAGGTGGAAGGCGAGACCCGCTTTCCCGATATTATAGTCTGCCCTGCACTCGTGTCCTGTGGCACGAACACACACACGAATAAATGTAATAAAAATTTTTTAAAGAGAAAAGGCGGCTGGAGGGATGGCTCAGCGGTTAAGCGGATGGCTTGCTGTTCTTACAGAGGACACGGGTTCGATTCACAGCACCCACATGGTGGCTAACAACTGTCCTTAACTCCAGTTTCAGGGATCCGATGCCCTCTTCTGACCTGACACGGGTGCACTTACACACATGCAGGCAATACACTCACACACATAAAATAAAAAATAACAATAAATAAAAGAGAGATGATCCAAGGAGCGAGACTGAGCCGGGAGGAGGGCAGGTGATGGTCGGGGCTGACCCTTCCGCTGGCTGTCTCCTTCCACCTAGACAGGAGGCAGCACCCACCTCTGAGGTTGTAACAATCAAGAGGCTCTCAAAGGAGTACAACATATTTGTCCAAAGAATTGAGCTTTTTATGTATGTGGGTGTGCATGTGTGGGTGTGGGTGTGCGACCGTGTGCGCATGTGTATGTACATGTGCCTGAGCGTGCATGTGCGTGTCTGTGAGCGTGTGTACACGTACCTGTGTGTATGTAGGCCTGTATGTGCATGCAACTGTATATAGGTGCTCCAGTGTGTGTGCACCTCTGTGTGCGTGCACATGTATGTGTGTGTGCCTGTGTGTACGTGTGCATGTGGAGGTCAGAGGCCACCCAGTGTGGGAACTGAAAAACATACAGTGTGGAAACCAAAGGATATCCTTGAGTATCCTTCCTCAGGCACAATCCACCTTTTTATGACACTTGGAGGTTGTAGACTGGCTGGCCAGCAAGATCTAGGATCCCCTGTCCCCACTTCCCCAGCAATGGGATTACAGGCATGTGCCCCCACATTGTGATTTTTCACGTGGGTTCTGGAGCTGCTTTCAGGGCAAGCACTTTACCAACCAAGCCATCTCCACAGCCTCCAAACATACATTGTTTTAAAAATTACATTTCTTTATCTACGTGCGTGTGTGTGTGTGTGAATGTGTGAATGTATGTCCTGTGTGTGTGTGCCCATGGAGTCCAGAAGAAGGTGTCAGAGCCCCTAGAACTGGAGTTACAGGTGCCTGTGCGTAGCCTGATGTGGGTGCTGAAAACGGAACTCTGGTCCTCTGGAAGAACAGCAAGTGCTCTTAACCGAGCCATCCCTGGAGCCTTAGAAGTTCTTTTCAGCTTTTTGTAAGAACTAAGCAAACTGTGTTAATTTCTCACTTACTTTGAAAAACAAATATAGAATTTGTTGACACAGTGACACAAAACCTTAAGGAATTGCATGTTCAGTCATTGAGAGAGTTGGGGCTGGGGGCTCAGTTGATATGATTGCCTAGCATGCACGTGAAGCCTTGTGATTGATCCCAGCACTGCATGAACCTGGCATAGTGGTGCACATATATCAGCACTCAGGAAGAGAGGCAGGGGATCAGAAGTTCGAGGTTATTCTTGACTACAGAGAAGCTTGAGACCAGTTGGGATTCATGAGCCCCATTCTTTAAAAACAAATCAAAGGTTTCCCACCAGATTTTATCTCAATCTAAACTGAAAATGTTTTAGTTTTGGAAGAAAAGCCTTGAACAGTCAGTTGTCTGGTGAATTTGTATGGGTCTTTCCCTGTGTTGTATCTAGGTGAGTAGAGGTCTTTGAAGCCATCAGAATGAAAATTGCATTTTCCCAGCAAGAAGTTTTAGAGCTAGGCGTGATGGTGCAGGTCTGTAATCCCAGCACTTGAGAAGTGGAGACAGGAAGATCAGAAATTCAAGGCTAGATTCACCTACATGAGGAGTTTGAAGTCACATAAGAGGGCTACATGAGATCCTATCTTTTAAAAAAATATTTATTGTTTTTATTTTATGTGTATGCGTGTATTGCCTGCATGTAGGTAAGTGCACCCGTGTTATGCAGTGCCCGAGGAGGACAGAAGAGGCTGTCGGATCCCCTGGAACTGGAGTTATGGACAGTTGTTAGCTGTCATATGGGTGCTGGGATTCAAACCGGGGTCTTTTGCAAGAATAGTCAGTGTTCTTAACCGCTGAGCCATCTCTCTAGCCCCAAGATCCTATCTTTTCTTTTTTAGTTTTTTTTCTTTTTTTGGTCTTTTTGAGACAGGGTCTCCCTGTAGCCCCAGCTGGCCTAGATTTGCTATGGAGACCAGGCTGGCCTCGAACTCACAGAGATCCGCCTGCCTCTGCCTCCCGAGTGCTAGGACTACAGGCGTGCGCCACCATGCCCAGCTAAGGAAACTATCTTTTTTTAAAAAAACCACAAAACAGACTAAGAAGGAGGAGGGAGGGAAGGGGGCAGGGGGAGGAGGAGGGGGGGAGAGGGAATGTTTCAGGAACTACAAGGCAAATCCCATTTTCCCTTGGTGAAAATATACCAAGGCCTTTCTGTTTGCATACCTGTATTAAACTCTTAATTCCACCACTGAGATTTTGAAATTGATGAATCTTTTAAAAAATTAAGCCCAAGCTCTACTGTTTGTGCCAAAATTTGATTATCCTCTCTCCATAGGATTCATTTCCTTCCTTCTTTCCATCTTTCATTCCTTCCCTATTATAAAATAGCAGACTGTGGGTTAGTTCAGTTGTGGAATGCTTGTGTAGCATGTGAGACCCTGGGTTTGAGCCTCATCATCATCATCATCATCACCATCGCTGGGACACGATGCCTTCCACCTCTAATTCTACCACTCAAGAGGCTGAGACACCAGCCTGGGCAACCCTGACTAAAAGAGTAAACAAGTAAGCAGGACATGGTGGGTCACGCCTTTAGTCCCAGCACTCTGAAGGCAGAGACAGGTGGATCTCTGTGAGTTCAAGGCCAGCCTAGTCTACATAGTGAGTTCCAAGACAGCTGGGGCTATAGGGAGATCCTGTCT